GGTAATTTATTCTGAATCACAGCACTACATTCAGAAGTAAGGGTTACCTTCTCTAGATCAGCCCATTTCCGCTTCTTTGTCAGCAACTCCCTTTAGAATTTAGCATATGTAGGCATCTGTACAAGTGCCTCCGCCAATGGTATGTTTATATGAAGTTGCTTGAAGAGATTCACAAATTTCTTGAAGTTTGGGTCTTCCATGGGCTTCATTAACCTTTGAGGGAATGGTGCAGGAGGTTCATAAGGTTTTACCTCTTCATTCTTGAATTTTTTCACCTTTGGAGGTGCACAGGCAGATTGCATGCAGTTTGCCTGTGCAAGTCAAATTTTTCAGCTTTTGCACTTTCTTCCTCTGCAACTGCTTTTCCCTCATTTTCTACTGGATTTTTCTTGCTATTTGGATCCTCCAACTCCTTCCCACTCCTCAATGTGACTGCTACAACCATGGCGTCCTTCGGATTCCTCTTAGTATTTGCTGGTAAAGTCCCAGGAATCCTACCTTGAATATCTGCCAAAGTTTGAACCATCTGGCCTATTTGCCTCTCCGTAGCTAGCATAGATGATTGCATATTATTGTTGATGGCTAGCTGTTGAGTGACAAATTGATCATGACCCTTGAAATTATTGTCTGTTTTCTGCATATGAGCCAAAATCAACTTCTTTAGCTGGGGGCTTCTTCTCTGGCTGAGTTTGCTGCTGTTGAAAACCAGGAGGTGGGATGTTTCGAACACCAGCTGGGTTATTGTTCGACCATGACAAATTGGGGTGCTGTCTCCATTGAGGGTTGTATGTATTTGAATACATACCACCCTGGCCTTGACTTCGCGGATTATTTATAGATTGGACATCTTCCAACTGAGCAGCTCCCAGTGGACACATATCCCTATGATGAGGACCCTCGCAAAATTCACATGAAACAACCTCCTCTTGTCTACCCAGAGCAATCTTGGCCAGCCTTCGTTCGAGTGCATCGAACTTAGAATCCAGCTTGGCATCTATCTTGGCTTCTAGAATCGCAACTCTATTTATTTCATGCAATCCTCCTCTTCTTCTAATACTGGTCTCACTACCCCATTCAGTGGCTTATGAACAGATCTTCTCTACCAGTTCATATGCTGCTGGAGCCTCCATCCTTGTGAAACAATTTTGAGAAGCATTATTTAGGGCATCCCGAAACTCCCTTCTGATTCCATTGAAGAAAATAATGATCACGTTTCAATCTTCAAGACCATGGCTTGGGCATCTCATCAACAGCCCCTTGTAGCGCTCCCATGCCTCAGTCAGACTCTCATCATCAGCCTGCTTAAAAGTAACAATCTCTTCTTGCCTCTTCATTGCCAAGGCAGGTGGAAAGTATTTATCCAGAATGACCTTTTCAAGCTGAGCCCATGTCGTGATGGAACGTGGTGTTAAGTTCTGAAACCAGTGTGATGCATTCCCTATCAGAGAGAATGAGAACATCCGAAGACGAATTGCATCATCAGATACAGTTGGGCTCTTCATCGTATCACATATGCTTGCAAACCGGCGGAGATGCTCGTGAGGATCCTCATTGCTAGCCCCGGAGAAAGTTTATCCATTGGTGATCATGTTGATAAATGCTGGGGTAATCTCCATGGTTGCATCCCCAGCCAGAATGACAACACATGAAGCTCGGGCTCCAGTCCATCGATTCAAACGAACCCTGATCGCACGATCCTCGTCTGCCATGATGTCAGGCTCAATGTCACGAGGTGGTGGTGTCGGTGGTGTAGGGACGACATGTGATGAAGCCTGCCCTCTCTGGGTTAGGGAAGGCCTAGTAGTTGTGGTTGGCTGCTTCCCTAACTTGACATGCTTCCTGTTCTGTCGGCAGGTCTTCTCGATCTCCAGGTCTATTGGCAATAAATCCTGGTTGTCCTCCTAGGCATGCACAAAAAGGAATAACCTGAAATTCACCTACACACTAGCACACAGATCAAAATAGTTCACTCACAAAAATCAACAAAAATAAGGTATGACAGTCCCCGGCAACGGCGCCAAAAACTTGATAGGGCAAAAGCGTAACGCCTCAATCCTATCTTGTAGTAAAACCGGAAATCCGGGTATCGTCTCTCAGGGACTGGTACAACCTTATAATTTATCAATTCTGTTGAGCAAAGTATAAGTGAAAAATGGTTTGGTTGATGAGATTATTAACTACTAGCAAAATAATTAAACTAATTAAGCAAAGTAAACTTGTCGGGAGAAATTCAATGGGAGAAAGCTCTGGCAAAAACACCGGGACTCACTATCTATCATATCCAAATTAATTCACATATTCCAATCAATATAATCCAACTCTCTACAGCCAGGATATCACGAATGTGCTAGCTATCCCTGTCGGGGATTACTACGTACTAAACAATTACATCAAATCCTACTGTCGTAGCTCAATGATTTAATTATTTAGCTTGAAGATCGATATCCTATTTAAGACCGCATAACACCTTATTTAATCCACTATCGCTTCGATAAGTTACTATGTCACACGAAATATGTTCAGTTATTAGGGTTTCACTGTCGCTAATAACCTAATTAACTACAAATTATTATATTGGTGGCCAATCAACACAAAGCATTAAGTAATTTCATGCAATAAAGATTGGAAGAAATCCTTCCCGCGAGCTGCTGCTTCTCCTCAAAGCTCCCGTACGAACAAGCTGCTGCTTTCTTTTGCCTTCCGAGAATTTTAATTCCGCCCTGCTCTTGCCTTTCTTTTTCTTTCCTGTTCCTCCGCCCAAAGAATTCCTTCCGCCAAAATTGCGTATGTCCCCCTTTCAATTCATTAACCCGTTACTCACTAAAGGCCCACTCCAAGACAAACAACTTGGGCCAAATAAATCCCTTCCAACACTCCAATTCTCTAATCTCCCTCCATCAATTTCCATCCCTTGTCCAAGGAAATGGGATTGCCTCCATCAATTTGGCTTTAGCCTAATGATTTGTTGTAGAAGAAATATGGATCCAATTCCTTCCGCCATCTCCTGCTTCGGAACTTCCAGTGCTGCCATTTCATCTATCTTTTCACCTAACACACACCAAAACTCCAACAAAAAAATGGTAATGGCTTTTCAACCATTACGGATTAATTCTCCCTAAAATCTCACCAATCGACTTAAACATACCATGAGAAAGTCACTTAAAGCTCAAGAATCCGATATATTAAAGCCGATTATCAAACTCAATTCTACCCGCCGACATATGTCACTCTCATGAAAGCCATGGGTAAGATAGGCAATCTTCTTCGAGGCATTACAACCTAATACTTTCTCATTAAGGGTTTGGAAAAGTACACTTCTATATCCACAAATTTTATGCTTGTGACAGTTATAGCCATAACTTTAACAATGTCACTTAACAGTATGACTGGATTGACGGAAATGTTGAGTTAGCGAGATATATCCTCCCCACCAATCCACGTGGAATATTAACAAAAAATATTAAAATACACTTCCATAGCCACTACTTTCACGTTTGTGACAGTTATACGCACGACTTTCGAAATACACGAAATAACCACTTTTGTTTATCCCTTTAACGGTGTCACTTAACACTATTACTGCAGAAGAAGACCTTATTTCCCAAATCGTCAATTCAGATCCTCAATCGCTAAACTGAAGAAGATGGCCTCGGAAGCTTGGCAGAGTGGCAGAAAAACAACGAGAAAGAGGGCAAGAAGGTTGTTGGGAAGAAGCTCGACAACAACCTCGAAGAAGAAGGCATATGCGACGGCAATGAAAGAGTAGACGTTGTCTCCCCGATTGCGGCAGAGAACGATGGGTCACTACAAAAAAGGCAGTCATTATCGACGACACGATTTTCGTCAAAATTGATAAAATTTCGTCGAAAAATATCTTTTACGACGACATTTGGTCGTCAGACGTTATCAGAAATTGTCCCGTCGCTAATAAAACATTATTGACAAGTCGTCAAAATTAAAATATTATTGACGACATAAATACGTTAGTAATAAAATAAATGATGTCACAAAAGAAATCATTCATGACGGATGAATTTGACGATTTTTTTTACGACAGCTTCATTTATTTTTGACGCATTATGTTTGTAGGTAAACCATTTTTTCTGACTAGTCGTCATAACTACTATTTATACTAACATTCATAATTCGTCGAAAATAACTATTTGCCACCAGAATTTGAGGCCGAACTTGTTTTTTTTATACGTTGTACATACATTTCTGAGGACGTGTGTGCGTCACTAATATATTATTACCGACGTATAGTCAAAAATATAAATTTTGCTGATGCCGACAAATTGTCGTTAAAATTATGTTTTTTTTCGACGTGTCATCGGAAACATTATTTTTTCCGAGGACAACTATTCCTCATAAATAAAATATTTTCCAACGTGTCGTTGGATAAATTTTTATTTACGATGACAACTAGTCATCATAAAAAGAATCTTTTCCAACGTATCGTAGGATAAATTTTTATTTATGATGACACCTATTCATCATTAAAAAAATCTTTTCCCACGTATCGTTGGTTATATTTATATTACTGAGGACATATGTTTATCGTCGAAATTTTTTTTCCAACGTGTCATTGGAAAAAAAATATATTTACTGAGAACAGCTAATTATCACCAAAAATTAAATTTTCCAACACGTCGTCGGAGAAACTACATTTACTAATGATGCTTAATTATTGTCAATAGTGAAATTACATCTATTAACGATGGCGGCATTTGTTGCAAATTGCTTGATCAAATTTCATTTGTGACGCCATTACACTTCTAGTGATGACAACACAAACAAATCATCCAAACAAAGTTATGCATATTCCAAAATTAACTTACAAACTATCTAACAAGTAGCCATTAGCCATCAGCTACGACCAAACATCCAAACTTCAAAACAAATCATCCAAACTTCAAAAGGCAAAATATCCTCCTAAAATGATACAAAATATCCCAAAGTCAAGCGATACTTAGAATCCTACGATAGCATTAAAAAGAAATTCATGCAGCAACAGTCTCGTAGACAGTCTCCTCATCGGACTCCTCATCGGCCACATCGTTACCCTGAGTTTCCCCAACTCGACCATGTTCCCCATTTGCTTCACTGTTGAGATCCTACATAGAATATAACAAATAAATTAGCCATAGCTTCGAAAATTATGTAATGAGTAAAAACTAGAACATGGCAGCAAAATACTTACCATGTCGAATGACTCGGGCAGCCGCACTCCAAGTCTCCGCAAGACAGATTCAACAATGTGAGGGACTGCATTCCTCACATCTACGATCTCATCCTCCAACTTCTTCATTTTCTCATCATTTTCCCCCCTTTCTTTGGTTCGATCCTCCTGACAACGCTTGATGCAACCCTTACTACCTTGACTCGATGGGGGGACCGAAGACATCAACCGAGCTCACCCCATGGCCCATCCCTATAACACGCTTTGGGCGTTGTGGTCCGATCACTTCTTGATAGATGGCAAATCAGTTTGGTTCTTCCCCTTGGGATACCTTTTCAGCCTCTGCTTCTATCATTCCTTCCTAATCAGGGAGTAAACAACATCAATATCAATAAATAAAAAAGACAACAAAAACGAGTACAAACAGCAGCCTAATACTCTGTAAACAACATCAATATCAATAAATAAAAAAGACAACATAAACGAATCCAAACAGCAGCCTAATACTCTGTAAACATAGTTCAACTTACATGCAAGGTTTTTGCTTTTGACGAAACCCAGTTCTTGTCCTTCTTCACATGGAAACATCTAAACATCTCGATCGGATCAGGTTCTTATCCTGTTTGTTTTATCTACCAGTCAATTAAAAACAAAACATTGCATTCACATGTAAACTGAGTACACTTGAAGCCTAACATAAACATTAGCCATAGTGCAGCAACTTACCTCTTCATGTCTGTACTTGGCCAACGGTGCTGAACCGCCAGTGGCTGCATGCTCACTCTTCTCCTGATTCCCTTTATTCTTATCACTCATTTCCTTCAATTCGAAACAACAAACAATCAGTTCACCATTGAAACAAATTAGGATGAATGACAAACACCAAAGCATACACCAACTTAACTTACCACCAAATTCGGGTTAGTCCATTTCTGAACCATCTCCCTCCAAATTGATGGACTTATTTGCGGTGGTGGATGGTTCATTCTCTCATTCAGATCCTTATACTTTGTGAAAATCGGGTCTCAGAGACCAAAGATCCACTGGGGAAAGTTTCTCTTCACGTGTTTTCTGACCATATCGTTGAAAGTCTCTTCTGACCCAGTGTAAGTGAATCCTGAGTCCTTGAAACGAGCTATCACAGTCTCCAGCTCGGATGCAGGATACTCTGAGAAAGTAATCCAAGGCCCATTGATGCTCCTTTTGAAGATAGTTGAAATTTCACGGGCTGCTTGAGTGGTAATTATCCTGCACAGTAAATAGAGAAGTATTAAACTAAGTAAACTGAGTACAGGGACATGTTATCGTGAAAGATTTGAGACAGGTTGTGCAAAAACCTTTATTGCTCCAAGGAACATTTAAACAGACCTGTCATCGTGAAATTCCAGGGACAGGTTGTGTTCAGGCTTGACACCCTTTCCTGGTCCTCTTCCTTTTCTTTTTTTGGTCGTCCCTATCACAAGGTCACAACTTATAGTCAGCTACAATGCAAAGACAGAAGGAAGCCAATCGAAAGAAGAAAAAAAACCACACAATGAAAATAACCATTCAAACTTCCACCCTCTGCGACAGGTCCGCAGCTGAATGTTGAGCAGACGAATCAACCTGCTCCGTTTCTCCTTCCAATCTAGTAACAGGGGACCTTTGCTCCGTTCTCGGAGTTTCAGTAATAGGAACAAGAAGATTGGTATTCCTTCCACCTTGTCCTTCTTCCCGAATCTCTAAAACAAGAGACGGAGAGGGAGAGTTGCTCTGCACAGGTGAACGAGGTGCAGATTCTTCCCTCTGGCTTTGAGAACGGAGGCGTTTCTTTTGCTTTGCCATCTAGTGAGAAGCAAAAGGTGTTAGGGGAGGAGAGGAATGGTAGAGAAGAGGGAATGGCAGAGAAGAGGTAATGGCTGAGGATGAAGAAAAGGCCTTTGTGTTCCTTTATTTGGCTCTACCTACTGAAGCGTGTTTGTGTGTAGTTATTGTGTTGTGGTGGGAAACTGGGGGGAAAATCCCGCCTTTTTTTTAGGCTAGCGAAGAGGCTTAAGGAAGGTTTATGACCAACATGGGATGCATCTCATTCAGCCTTCTGAATACCATACTTTTTTCGGAGCTAATTTACAGGATTGGCTTATGACCAACATTCGTCACTAGCAACACGCCTTGGAGTTTGGCATTACCTGCTGGTCTCTTTGGAAGACCAGGAATGATCGAGTCTTCGCAGGCAAGATCATATCAACTGATGGTTTCCTACAGCGCGTCCTGACATGGATTAATGTAGTGCGGAATGCCATGGACATGGAGAGGCTTGTTCATCTGCCTCCCCAACCCGCAAGAACGGAAGTGGAGATCTCGTGGCAGCCGCCACCTCCCGAGTGGGTTACTCTCAACACTGACGGCTCAGTTCACACTAATACAAACCACGCTACTGCGGGTGGGTTGTTGAGAGATCACATAGGATGCTGCTTGTCGGCATTTGCTATTAACCTGGGGAGTTATTCTATCACCGGGCTGAGTTGAGAGGTGTTGTAGAGGGACTTCAATTGGCTTGGAACCTTGGACACTGCCGGGTTCGAGTGGAATTGGACTCGTAGTGTGCTATTCAGTTGCTCTTGAATACCCGTACTCCAAACCACCGTCACGCAGTCATTGTCCGCAGGTTCTCTGAGCTCCTCCATAGGATTGTCAGGTTTCGGTTCATCATATTTATCATGAGGGTAATAAGTGTGCTGACTTACTTGCTAGTTGGGGCATTCCTTGCCTCTTGGTTTTCATGTTGTTCGTGTTTCTGATCCTGTTTTGCGCCATTTGGCGTTGTATGACTCTCAGGGTATCTCCGAACCCCGTCTGATTTTGAATGAAAGCTGAGATTCTATGCATCCATTTATAAAATAATAAAAAAACAATCTTGGTCACAGAATTTGTACTCCAAACAGAAAATCCGGCTCCCTGATTCACCTTTTCTCTATGGAATATTGCCGATTCAAGATCCCATTACCATCCTGCGTTTATCCAAACGTGTACGTTACTTAACTTACCCCGATCGATCCACCTCAATCTCTCAGCTCTTGAAAGGAATCTCGCCGACTTCATTCCACCATAAGGTTTAATCAGTAGGTCTGATTTGCGTTCTGTGTTCTTCATTCTATATAAACAGACCGCTATACATGAGCCATGCATATTACTGCACATTTATCTGACGATGGCTACAAAAATAAACTTCCTAGTTATTAATATGCGCCGCAGCAGGCCTGGTGACTCGCTCCTTGTTCGACGAGCGGCCGGACCGGTGGTGCGGCGCATTAAGCAACGGGAACCGGGGTTATTGCGACCCGGGCCGCTGCTGCAGCTATTTTTGCTACTGCGGTGACCCCAGCTTTGCCTACTGTCGCACAGGTTCCTGCTACCAATACCCCTCTCCGCCTCCACCTCAAACCACCGATGAAGAATTCACATCTGAATCCTCGACGCCGCGACGAGGAGAAGGAGGAGGAGTTCTCACCGCCGGTATTGTTAACGCCACGCATAACCACAACTTGGACGATCATCACATTGCTGTTGGTGATAACCCTTCCTCTTCGTCGTCGTCGATGTTTTCATGTGGAGCTTCCCACGACGAGGATTATCCACGTGCTGCTTTTGGTGCTGGATTAGTTGGAGATATATTATGTTCAACGTTATATATAGCTTGGTTGATGAGATATACGTACTGACGGTTGACATGCTACTACTTGTGCATGTGTTTGTAGGTAGCGAGTATTCTAGGACGACGCGAAGTGAAGGTGCGTATTGTTCACGAACGTAACGATCATGGGTTCAAACTTGACCTAAGTAGTTTCAATCAACTGGATACAGGTGGTCGTGGAGATGTTGAAGGCACCTTATTCTAATCTCAACGAGCGCTAGAGCATTCTGTTACGACAAAGCCATACATCTCCAAATTTTTTTGGTTTATTACCTAAGCATGAGCCTAACTTCAATATATTACTAGCAGAGACCCCCTCGCTACGCTTCACGCATAAGCGAAACCATAACGCTTCCTGCATAAGCGAAATCATAATATCATTGTGTATGAAGCATAATATAAGTTTCAATTGAATAACACTAATTCATTGTATTTCTAACGGTAAGTAGGACATACGTAATTAATCAAAGCATTAGATGGCATAAAAAGTTAATAAAGAAGTATGTGAATATGAAAGCATATTACACAATACAGACTGGCCACATGTTGGCTTCCACGTTGTGTGTTCTCATAATTGAAGAGCAAAGGGCCAAGCAAACCTGTGAATAGTAGTACATGACTCATATTGAAAGGGAAAGGAAGGAGTATAAGGTTGCAGTCGAAGTACCAGGTCAATAATTATGCAAATTGGCAGTAGCCTGGAACTCCATAACCGACAATGAGTATTTGATAATGGGAAGGCTCCCAACAAAACATAGTCTAGCAATTGACAGATGACTCGAGCACCTACTATACAATCTACAGGTATGAAGGTTCGACCTTCAAAAAAGCAGCGATCATATAAGTTCTGGAACTGCCTGGGGATCATAATGCGACAGCTTAGGATCGAAGAGCAAGAACAGCTGGTTGCACTCAGAATACAGCAAGAATAAGGTCGATTCTAGACTAACTCTGCAGTTAAAACATGCACAATAGGAACCGGTGTTAAGGATAGCAGGTTCTGCAAGTAAAAAAGTATGGGCATGATTGAAAACAAATTGCATTAGTGAGGATATTAAAAGAACCAATCTTTTGCCATCCAATCTTTTGACACACTGAAAACTTGCAGTATTTTAACTTGACCTTTCTGCCACAGGGCATCACGTCAAAGCAAGATAGCCTCCAATCCCATGTTGGTATCCATATAAAAAACTAATACAAGCAGCAAATGAACATAAAACAGATGGAAATGGTCAGTAAAGATGTACCTTATCAAATACGAAAATGAGCTTAAGTATCTATAAAATAACAATGCAAGTCCAAGATAATAAAAACACAGTCATGTGGAACATGTTCTTTATCACGCAAATGGTTTGCTTCCAAGTAAAGAAATCGCCTAAATTGAAATGGGAGAGCAGGATCTAGAGAAGAATTCTCACCTCCCAGCAATCTATAACTTTTCACACACCAGAGGCGAATTCAAACATCATTTTACACAAAGACTAAATGAAATTTGCAAGTAGAAGACCCTTAAAAGCTCATATCCTAAACATTTGCAGCAACCAGCCCAAGCAAATCTAAAGTACTTCTAAGTATTTATAAATTTACTACTTTAATATGAAACTTGATCATGAACATGAGAAACAACTAAAAAGAACCAGCAACACTGAACCAATCAAGTGCTTCGATCCAAGAGTTGAAATACTTACTATGGCTGCAAAGAAAACAACAAAGATATTGTTTCCCTTGATCGGTATCAGACAGTGAATATGAGCACTTCCCTGATAACTTCAAGAGTTGAAAAAGGTGGGATTGTACAGTCAACTGCAGTAAGAATGTGATTTGATGAGAACTAATAATCTGGAAGCAAAGGCAAATGATCAAGCATTTCAAACTGTTGGTTCCTTAATAAATATGGCATCAACACTCCACAACAACTAAATG